CAGATCGGGGCCCCCTGGCCAAAGTCAGCACCATGTGCATTGTCTAGGGGCCATGGAGAGAGGGAGTGAGGGACAAAGAGAGAGTAGGTGAGAGAGGGATCGAGGCAGGGACAGGGACATAGAGATGAAAACACACACAGGGCAGCAGGGCAGAGCTGGAGAACAGACAGGACGAAGAGAGAGCATGGATGTCCACCAGAGGGGAGGAGAGACGAGAGCCCCCAGTCAGGCAGGAAGAGCAGTGAGGGGTGGGGGGCGGGGTGGGAAAGGCAGGCATGCGTGGGGTCCGCTGGTGAAGAAGTGTGGGGAGGTCACAGACATGCAGACTCGAAGCATGGAAAGGTGGGGGTAATGGAGACACGAGGTGGAGAGAACCGGGAACTGAGGCGGGTGGCGGGGAAGAGAGAGCGGGGAGACAGTGAAACAGAGATAGGAAGGGAGAGCTGGGAACCAGGAGAACTGCATCGAGGGAAGAGCCGAGCGATGTGCTGGAATTGCTATGCGCTGGAATCACCAAGAAAGAGAGCAGTCCCTGTCCTCAAGCAGCTGATCCTCCTTCAGGATGCCCAACACACAAACAGGAAATGACGAAACAACACAAAAGTGCAGAAGGAAGCTCTGGAAAGTAGTACAGAGGCTGGGTATCTGAATCATCCTGGTCATAGTCTAGGGAGACTTCCTGGAGGAGGCAACATCTGAGGAAAGAATCAGGAAGTCTCTGATGGGTGCTGAGGGGGAGAGATGGGCAAGAGTGTGATGAGACAGGAAGCCTGGAGATTCAAAGGGCTGGGGCGTGCCTTGGAGGGCCCTGTTTGGGCTTCATCCTGAAGACATCAGGGAGTCCCTGAGGGGTTTCAAGGAGGCAGATGTGTGTGTGTTTGCTCAGGGGTGCATGAGCTGCTGGGTTGAGAATGTTCGGTGGGCACAAGATAAGAGGCAGGAAGACCAGTCAGGGTGGCTCAAGCAAAATAAATCGCTTCACTGGGGCAGTAGTAGTGGGGATGGAGAGGAGGGGAAGGATTTGCGGGCAGTGAGGGCTGCACTGCCTTACCACCGAGTACCCCGGGGGGCGGATGGAATGTATCTGTGTGGCCCCGGATGGCATGAATGAGGCGGCCAGTGAGCACTGGAGGAACCCCCCCCTTCTTCTGGGGCTCCATGGTTTGGGAATCCCCCTCTGCACCTTGCTACAGTGCAGCACCCACCCATGGGCTGGGATGTGTCCGTACGTCCGTGGGCAAAGGCTAAGCCCTTTTCATTCCATACACTGGCACCCAACATGGCGCCCCGGGGCAAATGAACACACGAGGCAGCGCGGAGCCTGATGTTGAGAGACCCAGTGCCTCACTCTGGGGGCTGGGACTGGAGCCAAGGCGTTGCTAAGAGAGAAGCTAAAGGTGAAGTCTTATTGGATGGGGGGGGGGGCAGCTAATCAGCATGCCCCGTGTGTCAGCCAGGCCTCGTGATCAGAGAGAAAGAGCACATGGCCATAGCCCAGCCAAAGAGACAGGACACATCTACTTAGTTGTGGTCATTATGACACAGTTTGAATCAGGCCATCGTGCAGGTGGTGTCAGGACAGCCACCTAGAGGAGGTGCCATTGGAGCTGGGCTTTGAAAGATGAATAGGAGTTTGCCAGGCAGAGAAAGAGAGGTAGAGGCATCCGAGGAGGAGAGAGCATAGTCGAAAGCATCGAGGCGCGGAGACCAGAGCTGCTACAGCATGCTCTCATTTACTCCGCGATTTGCAGGACATTCCCTCAGTTTCCCCCAGCTTCCGCCCGCAGCTCAGTGCCTGGCGCCCCGAGAGCTCAGACTTGAGCAGACAACATTCCACAGAAGAGCCGGGGTCTTTCCACGCCCCGCCCCAGGGCACTCTCGGAGCAAAGCAAGCCCTCAGGGGCAGCCCTCCAATGGTGAAGAAGGGGGCCTGTTGGTAAACTCCCTGCGGCTGGACTGCTGATGGACTCCTGGCAAGCAGTCCCCGGGGAAACGGGCCCCCTTGCTGCCAGCAGTGACCTTGAGAACACACGGGCACAAAGCCAATCTCATGTGGGTGTTTCCTCCTTCCCAGTGTCACCGCCCACCCCTGCCCCACCCTCCCGCTCCTACTTCCCGGGATCACCTTCCAATTAGACCCCTGGCAATCAACTCCTTTCTCAGGCTCTGCTTTGGGGAGAATCCCATCAAAGAGGGGCTGCGTTGCGGGCAGGTGTTGTGGTATAGACAGCTGTACTTCGGCAAACATATATCTGAGTATCTTCTGTGGGCCCAACCCTTGATTTGGCAAGTGGACGCGGAGTTCTTTAGAGGGTCCGCGTGCTCCCAGTCCTCCGTCCTGACTGGGGACATGAGAGGAAGGGTGAGCCACCAGCACGCGAGGGACCAGGAACATTTTCTGTCGGCCTTTGGAGCGGGTCACGTGGGTTGTGGACAGCAGATTGATGTTCCTAATTACATTTGGCTCCAGCTGATATTAAGTATTTGTCTCATTCCCAGAGCCCGCAATGCCGGCGGATGGTGGGGAAGGTGCCAAGAGGCATGTGAGGTGGCTGAGGCTGACAATCTGGGATTTTACATATCCATGAGAGAGAAAAGTGGATGAGTCACAGCCGTGGGGGAAGGGTGAGTGGTGTGCTTGAGTAGGCCTTTAACGGCTTCCAAGAAGGACTGGAGGGGCCCTGGAAAGGTCCTGAGGTCCACCCTCCTGTCTCGAAGGCTGGCCTACCCAAGACTGGAGACAGGGAATACAACCCACTTCTGATGCGGATAGCTCGATGACGGACATGCTTTTGTGGCTCTAATTCAAGTTTCTTCTAGCGCAGGTCACAGGTTTATTTTGCTTGATTCACTCTTTTTTTTTTTAAATTTATTTCTAGGAGAGAGAGAGAGAGAGACAGCGTGAGCAGGGGAGGGTCAGAGAGAGAGGGAGTCACAGACTGAAACAGGCTCCAGGCTCTGAGCTGGCAGTCAGCACAGAGCCCGACGCGGGGCCCGAACCCACGAACCGCGAGATCATGACCTAAGCGAAAGTCGGACGCTCAACCGACTAAGCCACCCGGGCGCCCCTTGCTTGAGTCACTCTTAATGGCATATTACAGACTCACCGAGCACCTGTTTTCCCCGGGGACAGGCAATAAGAGAGGCACGCCTTTGTGCTCAGGACACTTGTCAACCCATCATCTATCACTGACAGCAAGCTTGCGAGAACAGGACCAGGCAGTCGACCCAAGTGCAACCAGGGGAGTGGACAAGGGCTGGAGTTGTCAAGGGTGCAGCAAGGACGTCGGGCCCCGAGGGGTGGGCAGTGTGTGGCCTCGTGCATAAAAGTGAGGAGGGTATTCTGGACACTCAAGCAATGGGGTCAAAGCCAGAGGTCCACCATGGAAACAGGAAGGGCGCACGCGTGGCCTGCAGCAACATCTGCTCCCCAACAGAACCGTAAGCCAGTCACACTCACGTGTGGCACCAGGGCTAAGCGCTCTCCTTCCCTCTCCCAGGACAAGTGTGAAGCTCAAACAAGGACGCAGGTACGACTGCACCCTGGAGTGCACACAGCCAAGGCACAAGGCTGTGCTTGATCTAAAAAGACTTCGGGGGCGCCTGGGTGGCTCAGTTGGTTCATCAGAGATTTCTTGATTTCAGCTCAGGTCATGATCTCAGGGTTTGCGAGAGCTGCGAGTCTGATCACTCATCCAAATGAAGATGATAATTCCTTCCTCATACCCTTTCATGTAGGATTACAGGAGGAAACGAAAATAAAAACAGCAGGGCGAAATCACAAAGCGCCGGCTCCACAGGTGCTGATTACTCTATTATGGCAGTAGTCTACTCAGTGGGCTCCTTGAAGGCAGGCAGCCCACCTCCCCTGTTCTTCCAGCACCTTCCACAGACCAGGTGCCCCTATACCGCACGGTCCACTCGGTCGTAGTTGGTTACTTCGTACAGTCGCGGTGGAGCAGGAAGTCCGCACTTCCGGGCTTGGAGAGAGAGAGGGGTGCACAGACCTCCCTCCGCCTCCGCCTCCTCTAACCCCTCCTCAGCGGTTCAGGATCTGCCGGGACCTGTTCGGCTCAGGTGCTCCGGGAAGGAAACCTGTTCTGCTCAGGTGCTCGGGAGGGGGGCCTCCCTTCGAGCGATTGTCTCTCAAGTCCGTCCACAGCTCCAGGACATGGTGTGACCCAGGTCAGGAGTAGTGCACCACACAGGTCGCACCCACGTTCCCCCAGAGCAGCGCTGCACCCAGGCGTGGTGTAGACAAACCAAGGGCAGGGTTCGTCCAATCTCGAGAAGGCAGCTTTTATAACTAGGGGTTCCGTGGAGAACTTGTGGCGACGTGGAAAAAGCGGGCGCCAGGAGAAACGCCTGGAGCCAAGTATGGCTGTGTGCCCTTGTCTAAGTCCCTTCCCACCCTGGTCCTCCGTTTCCTCCTCTGTGAAACTGGCTACAGCTCCCTCCGGGCTGGCCAGTGGCTGCGGGACTAAGGTTCAAAAGACCGCGAGCAGGGCCCCATCCCGCGACCCCGTGCGGGTCCCGGCGGGGCCTGCGGCCGCCACGCCCCTCTCCGCTGGCGCGCGGCACTCGGCCCGGCGGACGTCGCCAACCTCCAGGGGGCGAGCCCCGCGGGCTTCTCGGCCCACGCGGCGCCTCCGCCGTCCAGCGTGTGACTTCAGCAGCGTCCCCGGGCCAACGGGGCCCCCCCAGCGCCGGGGTGGCGGCGCGCGCCCGCAGCCAGCAGGTGCCAAGACCCGGCCTCGCCCGGACGCGTGGCGGCCGCGGGCGCGAAGGGGTTAAGGCCGCGGGCCTGGGCGCCGGGCCCGGGCACCGCGAGCGGCGGTGCCCGGCGGCGGGCTAGCGAGCCCCAGGCGCAGGGCAGGGGAGCGGGCGGCCGTGCGCTTCCTCCTCCTCCTCCTCCTCTTCCTCCTCCTCCTCCTCCTCCCTCCGCCTCCTCCTTTGTAGCGAGTTCCCGGCCCCTCTTCCTCCCCCCGCCCCCCAGCCTGGGCCCTCTCCCCCTCTCCCTTTCTTCCTGCCTCGCCTTCCTGCGGCGAAGGAGGCTCATCTATTATAAATGCACATTCGGGGCTGACATCAGAGGCGAGCGGCGGGCGAGCGCCGACGAGCGGTCCCTGCGCGCTTGCCCGCCCGGAGCGCGGCCCCAGGCTCCGCGGAGCAGCCCGCGGGGCGCGGGGAGCGGGGTGCGCGCCCAGAGCTGCCCGCGCCGCGCCCGACCGCCTCCCGCCGCCGCCTCGGGCCCGCGGAGGACCCCGGCCGCCGCCCCCGCACGCCGCGCCCGCGCCCCCGCACCGCCCGGGAGTTCCTGCATGACTGTCACAAAGGTAAGCGCCGCTCGCCCGCCGCGCGCCCGGGACCCGCCGGCGCCTGCAGCCCCCGGCCTCGGCTGCTGGGGGCGCGGGGGTGTGGGCCTGGGGAGGGGGCCCCGGTGGCGGGGAGGTGCGGCGCGCGCCTCCTCTGCTCCCCGGGTCGCTCCGGTCGTTCCGGCGGCCCCCAGGGACTGCGGAGGGAAGGGGGTTGGATGCCGCTTTAGCAGCCGCGGCGGTCGGGACGACAGCCCTCCGCACCGGCCCACCCCGCGACTGCATTTTTAACCCTTGTTTAGGATGCTGCATTTTTAACCCCCGGAGAGCGGTGCTGGGCAGCTGCGCGGGTGTCCCCCATTGGAGCGCGCCACGGGGAGCGTCGCTGGCAGGACAGCGGGTGTGGGGACGGGCTTGTGGCCCTGGGGAAGGCCGTCCAGGGGAAAGCCCACCCCACCTGCTGGCCTCCGCGTCCATCCCGCGAACTCTGCCCCCAGTCTTGAGCTCCTCAGTGGAGAAGGCGCTCCCCAGCCCCAGGAGTTGTTACCAGGGGTAGGACAGGTTCTGTGGCGACTGGCTTGAAGAGGGAACGTGACAGGGAAGGGAGAGGTGCGCGTTCTGGCAGTTCCCATATTGGAGGAGAGTCCCTGGACTCCGGCACAGGGCGCCAGGTTCACTGCAGAGACACGGGCGGCCTCCCTGTTACGGAAAGCAGACCAGGTAGTGAAAAGTGCCCAGGAAGTAAACCTGAGTTCACTCCGCAGCTCAACCCCAACCCCCATGCTTGATCTTGGCTGGGCCCTTCGCCTTCAGGCCTCAGTTTCCTCTTGTGGAATACGAAGATGATAATGTGGATTCCGGGGCCGGTGGCAGACAGTTGAAGACCCAAGAAGAAGATCAAGAGTGTGAACCCACACTTTTCAGAGCGCTCTGTCAGGGTCAGCTCACAGCCTGGCCTTGGCGTTGGGTTTGGCAATCCATGCACCGAAGGCCAGATGCCAGTCGCTGCCCACCTGGCTGTCAGAATTGGAGAGTTGGAGGCCAGCGTGGAGGGGCAGCTTATTCGTGGTCAGAGTAGTGGACCAGATGGAGGGTTAGCGGTGGAGGTGATGGGGGGGGGGGTGCTGGCCCCTTCTGAGAAGCCAGGGGCTACCACTGCCCCCATGAGGTCTGTCTCCCATGAGACAGTGTCCGTTCAGGGTCTCTGGGCTCGGGGCCAAAATTGCCACTTAGAAACACTGCGGGGAGATGCGCCTGGGGACTGAGGGTCTGCCTCTTTTTTGGCTACTACTAGCAGGGCTGCTGTGGCCCACAGTGGGTAGGAGGCTTAGCTTAGTGTTTTTAAACAATACAAATGCTCTTTGGCTCGGAATGATTATTATCCATAAGGTTATTAATGTCGAAGACTTAAGCAGGCCGAGGCAGAAGAGTAATGGATGGGCCTGGATGAGAGATAAGGGATATGGGATTTATAATAATAGCACTCGCGTCTGACTCAATGCCTCCCCTGTGCCTCTTTACCTCCATGAGCTCAGGTAGCCTTCCTACCCAGGAGGCCTGCAAGGAAGGTGTGTTCGGCCCCCCTTTAAAAGGGGAAGAGGCTGAGGCTCAGAGAGGTAAAGTGGCTAGCCCAAGGTCACACATCAAATATGTAGCAGAACTGGGGTTTGCCTTCGGATGTGTCTCAACCTATGGCCTGTGATCTTTCTGCTGCTCTGCACTGTTGAGTGCCCTGGAGAATGGGTTATTCCCGTGGAAGTGGGTCAGTATGTAGAGGCCCAGGCCGTGGGGTAGAGTCCATGAAGGAGGGTAGTGTCTGCTAAATTCATTGGCAGGCCCAGCCTCTTGGTATCTGGTGATTATTCACTAATGCCCTCCCCTTTCCCCCATCCCCCACCAAGCCCTTCTGTACGTCTCTCCTCTTCTAACCAATATGGCGTCAGTTTAAGCCAGCTCAGAGGATTAAATAAAATCCCCACCTTAACCCTATCTTCTCTCCCCTTGCCAGCCATTCAGACCAGAAGCGTTCGTGTGGGGAGGGCAAGAAGAGCAGAAGAAATGCAGGCGAGGGGTCTGGGGGCAGTCCTGCTGCCCAGAAGCCTGTTGGAAGAGGCTCTTCCATGCTTTCTAGGAGAACCACAGTGCCCTGGGAGCCTGGAGGCCCGCAAATAGGCTGTGTGACCTTGGCTTAGTCACTTCCATCTCTAAGCCTCTGTGCTCCCGTCTGTGAGATGCAGCAATTCGTTTCCTTGATGTCTTGGGTCCCTTCTGTTGGGCCTTGGTGAGGAGGTCAGCTCTGGTGGAGACTGGTGGGCTCTCTGTTCTGGGGGGGTGGGGAGGGAGGGGGTTGGTCTAGTTGTGAGACAGATGCGAAGAAGGATCCTGAAGGGGGTCTGGGACGTGGAATCGTTGCTTACCAACTGGAGTGACAGGCAGGGGAGGAATGGTTAGAGGGCAAGACCCCAGCCTTTGCTGTTCCTCCTGGAGGCAGAGGTCATCCCTCTCTGCCTCGGAGTGCTCCGGGCCGGGTTAGGTGTGGATTTCGGGAGAAGGTCCTGTTAGCTCAGAGGGCCTGGAAGGTGCAGAGGAGGAAACCAGATGCCACGCTGTTAGATCTTCAGTAGCACTTCCTGAGAGTGGGTGGGCCTCCGTTTTCCATTTACCATCCCTCCTTCACGCGTACCCCAGCCGCTAGAGCCGTACATGGAGCCTGGGGGTCGCTGGCGGGACCCCTGCCCTAAATAGCACAAGAACTAAAGAGCCCTGCGGATCTCTGGCCTTCTAGCCCGATGGCATGATTCCTGGTTATGATGTTTTCAACTCTGTGTCATCGTGTGTGATGTCGTGAGCTGTCTTAGCTCCTTTATGTAACGAGGAGGGAAAAGAAGAAGAAAAGAAGGGAAGCGGCTTCCCAGACCAGAACCATCCATGGGAGTAAGGCCCTTCCTCCCCTCATTTTCAGTCCAGTATCTGTCCAGAGGGCAAGTCAGCGTTGAGGGAACGAAGGCCGCTTTCCAGGGAACAGGATGGTTTTGTTCTATGTGTTCTCAAGCCTGATCTTTATACTTTTTCTGTCTCTCTGCCATTTCAGTCATATGTCAGTGCTTCTCTGGTTCTAAATAGGTCTCCAAACTGCCATCAACTGGAAAAACAGTACATGATACATTAGAGTTGTGTGCAGGGTACAAGTCAATAGGCTGTGAGAAAAGTCTGCTGGGGTGCCTGGGGGGCTCAGTTGGTTGAGCGTCTGCCTTCGGCTCGGGTCATGATCTCGCAGTTTATGAGTTCGAGCCCCGCGTCGGGCTCTGTGCTGACGGACTCCAGATGCCAGCACCCCTCTAAGTAGCCAGTTCCAGGTTCGCAAGTGGTATCATCAGTCACACCGTGGCCCTTCATTCCGCAGGTCAGCCTTCTCTCTCCTGCCCCTGTCCCAGCGGTGCGCGGCTCACGGATGGGCTCCTGCTGAATGTAATGGGGCTGAGGACAGGGCTGCCTCACCCAGGTTTCCTTTGTTTGCCAAGGTCGAGTCTCCAAGGCCCCAAGTGGGGCCTCAAGTCGTCCAAATCTCTCCCTTGACAAATAGGGGAACTGAGACCCAGGGAGCACATTATACCTTGTGTAAAGTCACTCTACAAGTTTGAGGCCACAGGGGCCACCACCTGGGTCCTCCTGACTCCTGGTCGGTGCCCTTTCCACCCGGCCGCCCTGCCAGGGGGACCTCAGGCGGCTTGCGTGGGGGACAGGGCCCCACTCCAGTCACCCCTCTGCACCGCCCCAGCCCGGATGCTGGTGTCTGCTGGGCTGCCACCTCCCTTGCTGAAAAGTCATCGGGGATCAAGGTGTATGGGAGCCCTTGCTGCGCCCAGGGTCAGAATGGAGAGGAAGAGGTACGAAGCGCCTCTGCCTCCCACTCCCGGACCCTGGATCCAGCCTGCCCGGGAGAGGCCTGGATTCCCAGACATTCCACTTCCCAACACCTCTCTCCTGTCTGGCTCTTACTGGGAGAAGAGCTGAGAGAGCAAGCGTGTCCCAGAGCCAGCTCGAAGGCGGAGACGTCACCCGCACAGACCCAGCCCCCAGAAACCCAGGGGTGGCATGGGCTTCTGCCTTCTCTGCTCCAAACACCTGTCCCGCCTCTTCCTTCCACCCACTTCTTCTTCCTGACAACCGGCAGTCTTGCGCAGAAGGTTTGCGGAGAACATTCGCTTGCTGTGTCTGAGCTCTGACTCTGGGCCAGGCCCTGTGCTAGGCATTAAGGTCACAGAATGCCTGAGCCACAGGCCCTGCTCTTCGGAGCCTTGGAGAAGATGGATGGGGAAGGAGATGCGCCAGAGTCCCGAGTTAGGAGTCTCAAGCTTTGGTGGGCACAAGCCAGGAGAAGTCTGTCTTCTGCATACTTTACATGTTCGTAACTTCAGGATCCTTCCTTCCTTCCTGTCTTTCCCTCCAGGCAATGCAGCTCATGCTCAGAAGAGCTCTGAGGAGTCACTTTCTTCCCAGATGTGCCCAGATGCCCCGTGTTCTCTTGCCAGGGGGCTTTGCCACCTTAGCACCTGTGGCGGCATGCAAAGGCATCTGGGAGGGATTGTGAGGTTCCCCGGGGCCCCAGCAACCCCACAGCTAGTGGGCCCTGGGCACACAGCGTAGACTGGAGCTTGGCCGGCCTGGGAGTGCGGACACTGGCTAGACCGGCGGCCTGGCAGCTCAGAGATGGAGTGAGTTTTTCCATTTCTCTCCCAGGTTGGCCAGCCTGGAGCAGACATGGCCTCAGCCGCCGCCGGCTCCTGGCACCAGGGGCAGCCCAGATTCTGATTTGGCTATGCCGGCCACAGAATTTGTCTGGTGTCCAGGAGATGAGAGAATGTGCAAATTCCCTCTGTGCCCAGCCCCCTCTCCTTCCGGCCTCTCCTGATCAGCTAGCTGTGTCCCCCTTCCTTTCCCTGCCTGTGGACCCTGCAGGCTGGGCCCCCCCCCCCCCCCCCCTCGGAGCAGCCCCTAGCCTGGAAAGCTTAGAACAGCTG